TAGGTACCAAGATGAGATCCTCAGACCCCTTGTGAGACCATATGCTGGTGCAGGTGGCCCTGGGTTCCTCTTAATGCAAGACAATGCTAGACCTCATGTGGCTGGAGTGTTCCTGCAAGATGAAGGCATTGATGCTATGGACTGGTCTGCCCGTTCCCCAGACCTGAATCCAATTGAGCACATCTGGGACATCATGTCTCGCTCCATCCACCAACGCTACGTTGCACCACAGACTGTCCAGGAGTTGGAGGATGCTCTAGTCCAGGTGTGGGAGCAGATCATCTGCCACCTCATCAGGAGCATGCCCAGGCGTTGTAGGGAGGTCATACAGGCACGTGGAGGCCACACACACTACTGAGCCTCATTTTGACTTGTTTTAAGGACATTACATCAAAGTTGGATCAGCCTGTAGTGGTTTTTTTTTTTTTCACTTTAATTTTGAGTGTAACTCCAAATCCAGACCTTCATGGGTTGCTAAATTTGATTTCCATTGATAATTTTCGTGTGATTTTGTTGTCAGCACATTCAACTATGTAATGAACAACATATTTAATAAGAATATTTCATTCATTCAGATCTAGGATATCTTATTTTTGTGTTCCCTTTATTTTTTTTAGCAGTGTAGTTATGACTCCTTAGTTATGACTCCAAATGGTACCCAGCCTCTTGACATTCAGGAAGGAGATGAAAACTGAGCTGTTTTGTAGGGCGTTTACTACATAGATAGTTGCTAGAAGGGAGAAGAACAACATTTCTTTCAAATTGCAGATTTTTTTTTACTAGATGTATTACATATTTGCTTATTTTAATATGTGCTGTTAATTACTGAGAGTCTTGCCAGAGTGTGATAGTATAAAAATGTAAGTAAGTGAGCTATATTACTGTAAATTATTGAATGAAGGTTAGAATTATTTAATGAAGGTGTTTCTGGAGAATGTAGATATTCTATTCTAAAACATCCTAATACTCTTTTTAAAACATTGTAGGTGTATTTTTTAGTAGATTTAATATTATCGGCGGTAAGAATCTATAAGAGCGGAAAGTAAATAAAGTAAGAACCTTTTTTTCAAAAGCTTTTTAAAAAGAAATTTATAAATCATGGACAAATTTCAAAATTTGCAAAATATATTGAGAAACTTTATATCTTGAGATTCTTGTTTTTCTTCTAATTCTCTTAGAAATGAAGTTTTTCCAACCCCAGTTCCCCTATTTAGTTTTGAGGTCCAAGTAAGCACCAATGCAGAACAGGAATTGTGTATATGAATTATGCTACAAAAGTTCCTGCTTCACTTGCAGAGATTAAATTATTGAGACCAGATAATTGAGTTTATTTAAGTGATTTAACTGGTGATACATTCATATTATTCTTGCTACTAGTAGTTAATTCAACTCAATTGTGGTAATTTTAATATGTCTGACATATTAACATTTGCAGAGAAATCTATTGAAGGCCCACCCATGACCAGGAGCAATCCATTCTTGTCATGGTTGTCTCAGCAAAAAATACTTTTGCGAAAGCAGTTTTCTCACAATTTGTAATAGGCCATGTCCTGTAATAAAGCTCATTAATTCCAGGAACCACTTAATTTTTTTTTTTAAAGAAATTATACTGTTAAGTGCTGTTATATTCCGGACTTAAATCCCCTTGAGGCATTGCAAAGTCTTTGATTGTGCGGTTTTAACTTTATGTCTATATTTCCTTGTAGCACTTCCTCTACTATTGTAGGGTTCAGGGATGTTTGTACAAGTATTTACATATTTAGCATTTTTTTAAAGAAATGTCTAATGAAAGAACAAAGAAATTGCATTTTTCCCCAAATATTCAGCCAAAGCCTTAAAAAAAACAATTTTGCAGTTTTTTGTGGCGTAACTGATAATTACAATACACTACTATTAGAAGAGAGAGGGGGAGCATCATAGCAGGCCTTTATTTAAATAGCTGTCACTGCCCTTTCCTTCTGTCTAAAACCCTACCCAAGCATTCTTGAAAAGAGTTGCTACAATATTTAGATTGGTGGATGACCAGACCTTTATAGAAAGGGAAGCAGAATGTAGAAAGAAAAATACTAAAGTTAGAAGCGTAGCTTATACAAAAATATTATTGAATCTGGAACTTTTGTTCTATTTAGGGATTAATATGGGAAGATTGAGTTATTTAAATCTACCTACAACTAAGAGCTACAGTGAGGGAGTTCAATTGGGTGAGAACCTGAACTGCACAGCTCAGAGTCAGAGGAGAAAGCTGAAATGAACGAGAAAGGAAGAAGTGATAAAGAGTCCTGATAATAGCCATCTGACTAATAAGGGGGTATGTTTCCCAAAGACAACCAAAGAAGCCTTTTAGACAAGGAAAGGAGATAAAAGTGAAGAATCCTGCACTTAACTCTATGTCTTTTGCCCCTCATGAGAAGTAGGTTTATGGGTACAGAAAGCCACAGCTTGCAAAAGTAAACTGCAACATAAGCATTGTTACACTAAATAGCTCCAATTCTTCATGTCGCTGCTTTGCACAGCTCTTTCTTCAGGCATCCATCTCCTATGGGAAGGAATGCCTCAAAGACTCTGCTCCGCTGACTGTTAATAAAACCTAACTACAGTTCTAGAGAACTTCCTCAAGAGGAGGATGAACACGATTTCAGCAACTGGTTGAACTTCACCTACAAATTCTCCACTTAATGCTTTAGGGCAGGGGTGTCAAACTCGTAGCCTGTAGGGCCAGATGCATCACACACTAGCCACGCCCATGCTCAGTGAAGAGGAAAAAAGTTACGATATGTCACATGACGATGCAAGTTTGATACCCCTGCTTTAGGGCTTGTTCCTTATTCCTATGCGAACTAAAGCTGGAGAAATAGCTCTGAAATGAAGGGCCTTCTCTATAATATTTTGACTAGAGAAATCCACCAGGCCCTTGGTTCATTTGTTTTATTAGATAAATGCTTCCTTTTTCATTGGGATTCATCTGATGATAGGATCTTAATTTGATTGACTTTGCTGTTTATTGTTTTTCCGTTGGCTCCTGATCCAATATCTCCATTTTTGAGATCTCTGAATGAGAATATGTAAGTCTGCAGACAGGGTATTGGAAAAGGCAAACCTTTTGGCAGATGGCAAATAGAAATATACAGTCAAATCCCGACACATATATAAAAAAGGGAGGTTTTTTTTTTGTCACTCTCTCTACTGACTCTTGTTGAGTGTCTTACATAAAGTGTTTAAACAACCATAAGAGCAGTAAAGGCCACAAAATTGTTAGTCATGCATAACCACACATTGAAAAGGATAGCAACTCAAGGCATTATAACCATCAGAGTAGACTAACAGGGTTAGTCCAATGTGTACTTCTAGTTGTGTGCTCCTTAATGCACAAATGAAGTCGTCTTAAAGTAAGGTGACCAGTTTACTGCCATGTGCTAGCTGCCAGAAGTATACAACACCTGTGTTGCATGTCCTTCATTGGCTGCCAGCAGGCTTCTAGGTATGGTCCAAAATGCTGTTGTTTTTATGTAATAATATTATTTCAGTCTGGATCGTAACATGCGTTGATGGCTCTATTGGAGTTTAAATAAACATTTACATTTATTTATTATCCTGTTTTTGCCCACATAGCTTAATCAGCAGATTGTAAATGTGAATAAATACTTTGCTTTTGAACATCAGAGCCTCCCTTACTGGTTTCATTTGTGTTGCCATTCATTACTTAAAGTATCATTTGATGAGGGTGTTGGAAGATGGGACCCATGTTTTAGAGGCAAACTATTTTAATTAGGCTTAGTATAGTTGACTGTGAAGCAATGTCAGAAATGCAAATTCTATTCTTAGCTTTAGTAGGAAAGAGTAAAATTACATTCTGGTATCATAATGCTTTAAAATATACGGCTTGAACAGGCTTGGAAATGTCTTTTGAGTTTTGACTGACATACATCAAGAACAGCATTGTAGAGCTGGAAATTCCACAGAAAAGAGCATTTTGCAGAAATGATTGAGACGTTGCAGTAGCTATCCTTTGAGGAAAAATTATAGTATTTGAGAATTTTAGCTTTAAACAAGAAGACAGAGAAGGGTGGAGCAAACATATGTGTAAAATATGCACGATGTAGTTGGATGCTAGAATCCAGGATCAAGCAATAACATTCACTGATGGGAGTGGGAGGACAGAATAAAGGCATTTCACTATGGCATAGTTATATCTTAGTGTGGAATTTGCTTCTCTAAAATATAGCAATGGCTGTTTATTTGACTATTTTATATGGGGATTAAACCAATTCATGTGAATAAATACTTTGCTTTTGAACATCAGAGCCTCCCTTACTGGTTTCATTGTCAATGGCTATTAGTCACCACAGATATTTATTGTTTATCCTACTGATACTACCGTGTTTCTCATATAATAAGGCCGGGTCTTCTTTTTTTTTGAGCCCTGAAAAAATGGCTAGGCTGTCTTTTCGGGGGTGATTTAATTCCCCCCCCTTGCATCTTTGGGCAGGCGGGCAGTGACGGCTTGGATGTTGACCTCGGTGTTGGTGGGGCACTTCGTATCGGGGTCAACGCAGGCAGCATCATATCCGGGTGTGCAACAAAAGTACTTCCTAATGGCAAGCCCCCCCCCATTCCCCCCCATTTTGCATGTTTTAATATAGGCCTTAATTTGGGGGGAGGGGCTTAATTTCATTTCATGCCTATAAAACATGCTGGGACTTCCTATTGGGGGAGGCCGTATTGTTGGAGAAACAGGGTATGTTTCTGATAACCCATTACTACGAAACATTTGTGAGTGTGTGGCATTGTATCAGTGCCTCACTTGTAGGTTTATAGGTGTCATATCCGCCACTGTAGAAATAAAATGCTGGAGTAGATGGACTTTGGACCAGATCCAATAGTGCTCTTTTTCTGTTCTTTCTTACAGACAGAATGACTGTCGTCTTCTTTCTTGTTAGAAAGTAGGTGGCGATTGAATTTATTTTGTCTAATTCTTTTTCCAAATTTTTGTTTTATTATAGGCGGAAAGCCAAGTCAAAAGCTCCCCTTCCTCCACCTGAAACTAAAGTTACTGATTGCTCACCTTTTGATGATCTAGAATTGTCTAACTGCACGATGGACCAAAAAGAAAATGCGATTGATAGAGACATTCAGCTGTCTGTGATTCTTCCTGGAGAGGTGATCAAGACTACTAATATTAACGGCAGGTATGTTGAACAAAATTTTGAAATTGTTTTGTGGATGAAAACTGGATTTTCAAAAGGGCATGTGTTTGTGTATACACACACATAGTTTATTAATTTAAATGATTTACATGAGTGCCCATTTCACACAGATTCTGAGACTTTCAGTCCTAATGCCAAGGTGGAAATCTTTCACATTAAGCTTCACTCCTGACAAGCCCATGTTTTTGTCAGTGATATGGAAGACTTTTATGATCGTCACCTTCACAGATTCTAATTAATCTGTTAATTGGCAACTGGGGGATTTCCTAATATTCTTCCACCCAGATACTATCCAATTCCAACTCTACAGTATTTAGTTTTTTAAAATCAACCTATTTGGCTAAAAAAGTGCCATCTTCTGTATTCAGGATGGTTATAATAGTTTAAACAGAATTTCGTTACATCAAACACCTTCAATTGAAAATGAGCAAAATAGATTAAGAACAAATTTTATTTCAAGTTGTCTATATATGTCTATATATTTAACTTTAGGCAGCGATGAAGGTGTTGAAATTTCTGAGGAAAGATGTTGAAATTGTTCCATTTTTGTCTCTTCAAAATTTAGCTGAGATATGCCAGCTTTGAACATCATTGAGGAATGGGAACAATATTGGTTTCAACCAGGCTTTCCATAGAAATCATCTTACTGGCATATAATTTTCCAATCTTGTAAGATTCTTATTATCATCCAGGATTCAGGTTTTGGGACTATTGTAAGACTCTTCGGGTTTAGCATCAAAAGATTGCCTTTGCCTCATAAACCCCAATCAAGCAGCTCTACTTTTTATATAATCTCAAGTTCTAGAGAAGCTCTCTTATGTGCATAAAGAATCTCCATTACTGATAAAAGCTCCTTTAGTGGTTTGGGGACCAGCTTCCTTGATCCTCCTGACAAATAAATATTGCTTCAGCCTCTATAGTACAGACTACTCCTTGGATATACCAGCACAGAGCTTAGTTTTACATCAGATTGCTATAGTTACATCACCTTTGGGCTCCTTTTCCGTTCATAATTATATACTTTTATCAGTGGTGGGATTCAATTTTTTTTTTACTACCGGTTCTGTGGGCGTGGCTTGGTGGGTGTGGCAGGGGACTGTAAACTCTCCAGTCAGTGGTGGTATTTGCTGGTTCTACGAACTACTCAAAATTTCCGCTACCAGTTCTCCAGAAGTGGTCAGAACCTGCTAATACCACCTCTGACTTTTACTCTTTTCACTGGCATTTCTTACCAATCCTTGATTATTGTAATCCACTCAGATTTCATAGCTATGGATCTTTCAACTTCATGAAGGGACTGGTTCATTTCTTAAGTTCTAGATGACTATATCTGTATTCAGAGTCTGACTCATTTTTTGTCTTCATCTGATTGACTGGTAGTAGATCAGTCTCCCTTTTCTCGTTATGAAGATATCACTGGAAGCAATCAGTATCCTTTATGTGAACAATTATTGCACAGGTTCAATACTTTGAAATAGATATAAATCAACCTCCAGTCTTTTGAAATGATTCCCTCTTAACATCAATACAAAGTGATATTTAGTAGTGATTGCCACGTGTCAAAGTTCAAGTTTGCACTGGGATACTGATTGTTTCTAGTGATAAGGAGGATCAGAAACTAGAATGGCTTTGGATAATATATGAGATAAGATGTATAGCATGTACATCACTTTTGAGTGTTGGAGACTACCATGCTGTCTTTCCGAGGAGCAGATAATTATTTTCAAAATATTGATTGCTGTTAAGATATTGGCATTGAATAGTCATGGTTCTGGTCTATCAGTGAATCTTAAAACGGTATTGGAGAGAGAATACATTAGAGAGCCACACTACTCTGTGTCACCAACTAACCAGCATTCCTCCTTTTCTAGGCATTGTTATAGGAACTACTGATCCAGTTCTAAGCAATGCTTTCAGCCTTACTGTTCATCCTAAACTGTTAGACAGAAACTTGTCTGGTCTTTTCATTCCTTCAAGAACTGTTCTTTTCCTCATAGAGATGTTGAGGTCAAGTCTAAACTCTGTTTTTGATTATTCTTATTGCCGCCTCCCTTTTAATGTTCACAGCCTTGTATTTGGAGGCACACTGATTCACTTTAGAAACTTGCAAAACCATTTCAACAGATTGCTGGATATTTGCTGAGGGTAATGCCATGGAGTTTGATGCTCTCCCTCCTAAATAGAGCATCCGAAAGGAAGGAAAAATTACAAACATTATTTGTACACACCAACATTTCTTTCCAACCTTTGGTTCTTGCATAAACTGAAACAAGTTCAGCTTCTGTCCCCGCAAAGTATCTCTTTTCACAGGAGAGATAATGGATTCAGTTTCTTGCCGTATATCTTTAACCAAGGATTGAACAGGTATTTTCCACATTCAATTCATGCTGCAGCTGAAACTGAGCAAATCAGAAGGAATATTTTCCAAGCCTCGAGGCCTCTGATGTTGCTGTAGATGCCTTCTTGATATGTTGAGTTGTGAGCCCTTCCTTGGGTTTGTTGATCCTTGCTTTGACTCTGTCAGATATCTTTCATTCCTATTAAATAGTTCTATAGTTGAAGGATTAAAAGAACCAAGATAACCTACCATTCATATTTTTTTCGTGGATTCTGATTTCTCACACCTTAAAGATGGTGAGTTTACAGAAGAAACCAAGTTATATGACATACGATACACAGAAAACCGTGTACAGTATTAGTTCTTTAAATGATTATTTGTCCTTTTCACCATGCTCATACTGTATCTACTGTCTTCTTACTGGTGGCTCAGTTATTGTTTGGAACTCGGAGAATTCACTGCGGGAGAATTCACTGTGATAGCAGCTAGAGCATGTTCTAGAGCAGGGGTGTCAAAACTCGGGGCCCACAGGCCGCATGTGTCACGCACTGGCCACGGCCACCCCCAGTTTAGTGAAGGAGGAAAAAGTTGCAATAAGTCAAGTGACAACAGCGTGACATCGTGAGATTGACATCCATATTCTAGAGTTTTGTTTTGCTCAGATATCTAAAGAATTATAGGTAGCCAGTTTTTCAGTATTTAAAACTTAGATTTGTAAATTTCAAAAATATTCCTGATCACTCATTGAATTATCACTTTCCTGACTTCTTGAAGCTATTTTTCTAGGGAAATCCTTTAATTTGCTCACATTCTTTGCTTTTCTGTAGAACCCTATTTTAAAAAAAAAGGCTTACTAATGAATGCTTATTTTGTAAGTAAAATATTCAGGAATATTCTGTTTACAATTAGTTGGATGCAAAGCCAATTTTTTTTTAAGTAAGGCTCTTATAATTATGGGTGGAAATTTTATTAGGAAGTCGGGAATTGATTTCACCACCATCTCTTCTATTTTGTTATCAGGACCGAACCAAACACTACTTTGAAAACTACAGATTATGGTGAAAAACCTCTGTACGGAATGTCAATATTGTATATGGAAAATTAAACTCAACTTTTAAATTTAAACTTTCTTTCTTCTTTCTTTCTTTCTTTCTTTCTTTCTTTCTTTCTTTCTTTCTTTCTTTC